TTTGAGGAACTTCCATACAGTTTTCCAGAGTGGCTGCACCAGCTTGCATTCCCACCAACAGTGTAGGAGGGTTCCCCTTTCTCCGCATCGGATTCAACATTCTTAAAGTGAATGCCCATGATGCTGCCTCCCCAGATGTCCTCCTTCCAGAATTTTCACCGCTTCTATGGAAGGCACCCCACATTTCTACCTGCAGTCTGAAACACCGGATGCCCTCTTTGATTCCTCCTTCTCACCACCCAGAATGAAGCCATTAGGAAATGCTGCAAAGTCCATCTGTGAATATCTCCAGCTCCCAATCACTTCCTAGTAGCTTCCCTCCTCACATCCCAGATGTACATCCCACATCCCCCTCCTGGGACACAGCATGGGTTTCCTACATGTTCCTTACTGGTCGCTCTCCCTGCACCTCCCGATTCTGCACAGAAGCAAACAGATGCTGCTCAAGAAAGTCAATCCCATCGATCTGTTCATTCCTGTAACTCCACGCCTCCCTCAGAGAAAACTCAAAACCCTTCTAATATCCTCAGGCCTCCGTGACGAGGCTGACATCCGACCTCACGTCACCGGCTCTCTGCTCCAGCCCCAGTGGCCTCCTCACCCTTCCGTGAACACAGGATGCGCTCCTGTCCTAGTGCGTGTGCACTGGGGGTTCCCTGCCTGGAAAGAGCTCCCCCCCCCAGACCTCCTCTGACACAATTCCTTCATGACCTTCAAACCTCTCAGAGGTCACCTTCTCAGTGAGGCTCCCTGATCCCTGGAGTAATGGAGCCATGGTCCCCGTCCCAGCACGGTGCTCTGGGTCACCTTCCTCAAAGCTCCTGCCAACTTCCATGTAAACACTTCCCTTATTACTGCGCTTACACAGTACACAGTTCACCTCTGCATGACACTGGTTTGCACGGGGCGTGTGCACCTGGATGCGGACTTTTCTACAGTAAGTACTGTCCACACACTTTCTCTTCCTTATGATTTCTACTATTTTGTCTACCTTCATTCATTGTAAGAACACAGTATATAGTACATGTAACATGCAAATGTGTGAAGCGACAGTTCATGTTATCAGTAAGGCTTCCAGTCACCAGGAGGCTGTTAGTTCTTATGTTTTGAGGGAGTCAAAAGCCGTACTTGGATTTCTGACTGCACGCGGGGGTCACTGCCCCCATCCCCGCATTGCCCGAGGGTCAAGTGCAGGCTGCCCCTTACACTACAACTAATCTCCACAAGAGCCGCATGTTTTCCCTCTTCTTAGTCTCACTGAGCTGTCCCAGACGTAAACATAGCGTGTCCTGTATGTAGCACAGGACAATTGTCAGGTGAATGAATGAGCAGCTAGAGGACCTCCCTCTTCTAGATGCGCCTCAGGCTCAGCTGATCCGTGGCAGCTCCCCCCCACCCCCTGTGCGCCCACTCGCCATCCGGGCTGCCTCTCTCTTCTCACAGGGCTGCCCTCCCCTCTCTCTCTCTGCTCAGCCCCCCCTCCCCCACACCACGTCTCCTGCACACACGGCACACAGAGTTCTCTCTTCAGAAACACTGTA